CTCTCTCTCTTTCTCTCTCTCTCTCTCTCTCCCTGTTGCTCAGTTTGCAGCCATGATGTCTATGGGGGAAAGAGCCTAGCCTACTTTATGTTCAGAAGGACATTAGCACAATACAGGAGAAACATTGAGGGATGTAAGAGGTAAACGGAGGAAGAATCGTCGTTCTATTTCATTTTGGATGTGAAACTTTTTATTTCTCTCATTTCAGATTTTACAGAATCCCATTTCCAGCCAGCACTGGTACAGTTACAGGGAAATCCTGATCTTCATCCCCGTGTCCGTATGAAAGTCATAACGCCTTCTCATGTGCATAACCTTGACCTTACAAGAGCTTCACGTGTGCTTCATGAATCGGTCAGGGTAATTTCTGTAGAGCCGGGTGATGAGGAGGAAGAAGAGTTCAGAATAAGCGAAATTGACGTAAGTTGATAATGCTCACTGTTTATCATCGAAATACCAGTGAATTATTATATCGCTGCCAAAGAGGCATGATCTATAAATCCTGAATTACCTTCAGGTCGGAACTTGTCAACTTAGTTTGTCGGTACATTACTGTACGAAAGAAAATTAGCATTTCGTTAGACATTGATCTTGATCTAGTTATTTCTGTGGACTTCAAAAGATTTGACATAATTTCGCGAAACAGCATCCAGATATTCTTATGAGCGTGCCACAATATCAATGACAGTAGATAAATGCGCTGATAAGCCTTTCTGTGCTAGAAATGGAGTCCACAGCATAGCACAGGACCCACCACGCCACGCCACGCCACGCCACGCCACGCCATGCCATACCATACCCGATAATACCATGCCACACCACACCAACCATGCCTTAATAAAGTATGTCATACCATTAAAACCTTTGTATAGACACTTGCGTTACTGTTTACTTTCAGCCTGACCTGCATCTTCTAGATGGAAACTTTTTCGAGAACCACTCCACAGGAACTATCCTGAGCATCCACAAACGTCCTGACGGCAAATACCACGTGGTAAATATTTGCACCTTTGCCTTTGATTATCACGAGCTATATTAATAGTCTCAAATTTTACATCAATTTCAAGATATTGATCGGGCATATTGTGTCCGCAACGTCCATAACCCTCTTATGCCCTTCGATTTATTTGAACTTTGAAGTATGAATGCCCGTAGGACCAGATTAATTGTACTCAACTTCTTGCTGTTGTTGTTGTTGCTGTTGTTGCTGTTGTTGTTGTTACTTTTGTTATTGTTATTGTTGTTGCTGTTGTTGTTGTTGCTATTGTTGTTGTTGTTGTTGCTGCTGCTGTTGCTGTTGTTGTTTTGTTCCTTATTGGGAATAGAAATATTATCAAAATGTTAAATTGATGTCAAACTTTTCATACATGATGTATAATATTGCCTTTTTTTTGCAATAACGTATAGCGTATAGCGTTATAATTTTCATGTCAATAATTTTTTTTAATGAGTGCAGTAGAGGGTTAAAGAGCTGAAGTAGTCTGGAAAGGTTTGCTCCTTCTTTCCTATCAAACATCTATCATCTTTATCTCTCCTCCTTTTTGTGTGTGTGTGTATTTGTTACTCTCCTGCAACACCTCTAATCTTCGGCACTTATAAGACTCAATTGTGTTGCAAAAACGGAAAAACTATTTCTAAAACTAAAAGACTAAGACATAAAGCACATGTACCTCTCTCTCTCCCCCACTCCAGGAAGGTCACTTGAGTCACAGCCTCGTCATAGCCCCACCAGGCTCTGGCACCAGGCACAAACGGTCTACCGGTGACCACAAGGGTCATTTTGTCTACACGACTGGGGCCGAGGATTATGACAGAGACTTGTCGGGTGGTGAGGCTATCATCAATGTTCTCAACAGGTAGGTGAGGGAGTCGTGTGACCCACAGTTGTCAGTTTTTTATTAGCTGGGGGATAAGAGGATATTATGTTAAGTTTAGTTTCGAAGAGGACTGATTTCAAATTAGTGGGGAGGAGGAAAGGAGGAAGGGTGAGGTGTGTGTGTGTGTGTGTGTGTGTGTGTGTGTGTGTGTGTGTGTGTGTG